AGATGTTATACTTCTGCAGACGAATTGTTACAAATCATTACTACGTCTGTTCTCTCTGCTGTATTGATTGCAATTCCCCGAACCTCGGGTAAATGTTATCAAAAATGTGTCCCCTGGTGGGCTGCAGACTGTGCTCTTGAAGCTCGCTGGATGGGGCCACGGCCATTACAACACACCTACGAAGCGGTTCCTTGCTTTTAGACAAGTGAGAGTGCATGCCCTTTGTGTTATATATATAAGCTTCAACATCCGTACACACGAGGGCCTGGGATCTTCAATCAACTTGGCGTCCACCAGGACGCTGACATGTCCCTAGGGCAGCTCTCCATCGGGCTGCTAACGGAGTCACTGGCTTCTTGGACCTCTTGGGGAGGGTCGATGGTGCTCGTGCAAGCAGCAGATCCCTGGGCAACTTGCTGCTGTTTGCAATGGCTGTCTACCGAGGAGAGACAGGCACCTAGCAACATCTGTTGTTGGGGCATTGGATGAATTCCCTACTATGTTTGTTAACTGCTCATTACTCTGTAATTTGTCTATGATTGTAATCAGGTCATAACGTGTTTATCATTCATTACATATCCTGAGCTTGCTACCATCTGCAGCTCATAAGACTGCCCCTTTGAGGCGGGGTAGATGACAGACCAGAGGCCTAGCTTCTCCCTACGAGCCCCGTGAGGGCGGGGACTGTGGCTAGGCCTGGGGAGGAGGTACTTGTACCTCCTCCCATTTTTGTAGATGAATGGTTCAGAGAACCTCCTATGGGAGACTTAAGTCTCGAGACACTCCCCAGATAGGGAGCCAAGGCCGGGTCACCACTACTTGGAAAAGACCCGGGCCGGGAGAATACCGGCGAATAAAAAAAAAATCATTCATTACCTTTGAAACTTGTCATGATTGTGACCAGCTCTACCTGGAGCTCATTACCTTTGTAAATTCTCATGATTAATGTGTTTATGATTCATTACCTTTGCAATTATTCATGAGTGTGACCAGCTCAACCTGGAGCTCATTACCTTCGTAACTTGGTCATGATTATGACCAGATCTAGTTCATTACCTTTGTAACTTGCTCAGCTATCAAAACTTTGGAGTCCAGTCCCTGGACCAATTATGTACCTCTGTAATCTTTTGACTACCGCCCACAGGATGGGTATGGGGTGCATAATAAACATGTAATAAAGTTGGTAGAATTACCGACAATATGTAAAGTAAAAGGACACAAGTGCAACTAATGTGACATTTATTGTGGCAACGTTTCGCTCTCCAGGAGCTTTATCAAGCCATTACAAACAATACATGGACACAGAGGGTATATAAAGGCTCTGAGTGAGGTGCAATACTAGTGAGGTACCATTTCGATGTTCACTAGTGGTAGTAGTAGTAGTAGTAACAAAAATAATACAATATGGAAGAGCAAATAATTCGTACATGAGTAAAAGGATATAAAAGCTATTACTTGGGTAACATAAAAATAGGTTGGACAAATATAGACTGGAAAGAGTACTTTCACAAGCTAACACCAGAGTCGCCATCGCTTCTACCACTTCAGAAAAGGATCTAACCAGGACAAAACCCAAGCACCACGAACCAGTCAATGCAGGAGTTTACACTATACCCTGTGGAGGCTGTGACAAGATCTACGTAGGTGAAACAGCAAGAAACCTCGACACCCACCTCAATGAACACATTTACGCATGTAGGAACGACAACTTAAACAACGCCTGTGTACAACACCGAAATTCCACCAATCATCTCATGAAATTCAGAGACGCCCAATTAGTGATCAAAGAAACTAATTTCCGCACACGCAAGTGCCTTGAATCAGCACTGATCGCTGTTTCGAATACAATTAAACAAAACAACGGCAGCTTCACCATCTCCGAAGTCTTAGCAAGAATCCTCCTGAAAACAGTAAACCCTGCCATCACATAGTCTCTCCTGTTATACTACACAAGCACATTACAGAGAGTGAACACTAAAACCTGCCTCTTTCCAGTCTATATTTGTCCAACCTATTTTTATGTTACCCAAGTAATAGCTTTTATATCCTTTTACTCATGTACGAATTATTTACTCTTCCATATTGTATTTTTTTGTTACTACTACTACTACTACTACTACTACTACTACTACTACTACTACTACTACTACTACTACTACTACTACTACTACTACTACTACTACCACCACCACCACTAGTGAACATCGAAATGGTACCTCACTAGTATTGCACCTCACTCAGAGCCTTTATATACCCTCTGTGTCCATGCATTGTTTGTAATGGCTTGATAAAGCTCCTGGAGAGCGAAACGTTGCCACAATAAATGTCACATTAGTTGCACTTGTGTCCTTTTACTTTACATAATAGACATATTAAACTAACTAACTAACTTTTTGTTATACAGATAACAAAACGAACTCTTCCTCGTCAGCGTCAGAAAATCTCACATTCCAGAATCACAACAGTGTTACTATACTTTGCAAGTCACTTCGTTCTCTCCAGATTAGAATACTGCTGTATACTAGCGGCCCCCTTCAACTCATGCGAGTTTGATGCCTGTGCACATTCAGTCAAGCATCTGACTTACTGGGAATGCCTGAAGTATGTAAACTTCATTCCTTGGAGTATAGGCGAGAAAGGTACATTATAATTTACACCAGGACAGTCCTGAAGGGACTGGTCTCAAACCTCAACACTGAAATCACTCAGTATGACAAGATATTTGGCAGATGGTGCAAAATATCTCCAATAAAAGGCAGGGGCGCGACGAGTACACGAAGAGAGAATTAGGGGAATATTATTAACTAACCTCTGGCGGTCTTCAAGAGGGAACTGTACAAGTTCTTTAGATCAGTATCTGACCAGCCATACTATGGCTCGTACCTTGGACTGCGTACAGCCAGAAGTAACAGCCTGGTTGATCAGGCCTTGATCTTCCAAGTCTCGTCTGGGACCAAACTGGGGGGGGGTATTGACCCCTGGAAACAGTATTACTGTACATTACATCTGTACTGTTTAGTATTACTGTGCATCAGTAGTGTACAATATAACTTCACTGTACATCAGTAGTGTACAGTTTTGTACTCTACATCATTAATGTACATTACTTCATTGGTGTACTAGTTTGTACTGTACATCAAAACTTTACAATATTATTGTATTGTACATGAGTAATGTACAATATTACTGTACCATACATCAGTCATGTACAATATTACTCTACCTTATATCAATAGTGTACAATGTACATCAGTACTGTACAGTATCATTGTACAGTATTACTATACATCAGTAACGAATATTACATTGCTGTACGGTATTAATGTACAGTATTAATAAAGTACACTATTAATGTGCATCAATGTTCTACAGTATTACTGTACATTAATATTGTACAGTATTACTGTACATTAGTATTGTACAGTATTACTGTACATCAATATTGTACAGTATTACTGTACATTAGTATTGTACAGTATTACTGTACATCAATATTGTACAGTATTACTGTACATCAATATTGTACAGTATTACTGTACATCAATATTGTACAGTATTACTGTACATTAGTATTGTACAGTATTACTGTACATTAGTATTGTACAGTATTACTGTACATCAATATTGTACAGTATTACTGTACATCAATATTGTACAGTATTACTGTACATCAATATTGTACAGTATTACTGTACATCAATATTGTACAGTATTACTGTACATCAATATGTACAGTATTACTGTACATCAATATTGTACAGTATTACTGTACATTAGTATTGTACAGTATTACTGTACATTAGTATTGTACAGTATTACTGTACATTAGTATTGTACAGTATTACTGTACATCAATATTGTACAGTATTACTGTACATCAATATTGTACAGTATTACTGTACATTAGTATTGTACAGTATTACTGTACATCAATATTGTACAGTATTACTGTACATTAGTATTGTACAGTATTACTGTACATCAATATTGTACAGTATTACTGTACATCAATATTGTACAGTATTACTGTACATTAGTATTGTACAGTATTACTGTACATTAGTATTGTACAGTATTACTGTACATCAATATTGTACAGTATTACTGTACATCAATATTGTACATTATTACTGTACATCAATATTGTACAGTATTACTGTACATCAATATTGTACAGTATTACTATACATCAATATTGTACATTATTACTGTACATCAATATTGTACAGTATTACTGTACATCAATATTGTACATTATTACTGTACATCAATATTGTACAGTATTACTGTACATCAATATTGTACAGTATTACTATACATCAATATTATACAGTATTACTGTACATCAATATTGTACATTATTACTGTACATCAATATTGTACAGTATTACTGTACATCAATATTGTACAGTATTACTGTACATCAATATTGTACAGTATTACTGTACATCAATATTGTACAGTATTACTGTACATCAATATTGTACAGTATTACTGTACATCAATATTGTACATTATTACTGTACATCAATATTGTACAGTATTTTTACACATTACCCTGGTGTTTTAGCAGATTAATTACTTTCATTATTTTTTTGTAATGTTAGGTGAATTTAGCTGTGCAATCTGCACTTTGTTTTGCAGCAATTTTGACTATTGCAAAAAAAAAAAAAAAACGATTTAATGGAATCCGGAAATACGGAATGAAGTCAGGTCGGGTCACATGATTCGTACTAAACAAAGTTTATTGGTTAAAGAAGTTACTTGTGTTTGTTACACTGATGACAAAATAATTTCCTCTATAACAGTGGCCACTACTCGTCACCTGCCAGCCAGTGGTAGTCAGGTGAAGCGAGGGGTTTGCTGTACATTTATGAAGATGTGAGGACCTTCAGTAGTTTTACTTATTACGTAGTTTGGTAACAAACTTATCTCCCGTATATTTTCTGTTTATGTTGTACCTTTTGCCATGAATATAATTGTAACTGTTTTCTCTCCAGCCAACAAGAACTGGATTCATCCCCCGGAGGCACTGCAGAAGGGTCACATTGCCTACCTAGTTAAGGTGAGTACACAAATAACCCTCACTTTGGTAAGGGGAAACGTCTGACGTATTTTCCTTCTGGCATTACCTTTATTGTATAGATCTCTGTTATAGCATGAAAAGTATTTTCTCCATTTCAAGTACAGTAAATCCTCTTATAACGCGTGGGTTATATTCTTGAAAAATTGGGAAAGCTGGGTAGCAGGTTGATAACCAGCAACCATCCAGGAAGGTACCACCGTCATGTCTGAAATAGAAGTCGGTTAATTTTTGTACTCTGGCAGGATTGCTTATCGATTCTTTGTCTAATAAACACGTAAGATGACAGCTAAATCTTACACACCTCTATTTACATTTAGTATACACATACCATTAATTTCCTTTGTGCTCCTTAATAGCTCTTAATCCTGAAATATTTTTAATCTAGGAGACCTGGTCTGAGACTAGGCTGTTTGGAAGGTAATTCCCAGAACTACTAAAAGATAGCATTCCAGATCTAAGAGTAGCCGTCGGGAATCTCGACAAAGAGTCATTCATGGCCCTATATACAATATTTGTCAGGTGCATCTTGAGATATAAGGCACTACCCTGGAACCTACATCTGATAATGCATGTCAGGAAATCTGGAGAAAGTGCAGAGGTGTGCAGTGAGACAAGTTCCATAGCTGAGTACTATGAGAGGCTAAAGAAACTGAACTTGATGACATCACAACACAGAAGAATAAGGGGAGATATAACATACTCAAGAATTTATAGGGTGGACAAGGATGAATGTTGGAGGTAAGAAACAAATACATGAAGGCATAATTGGAAGCTAAAGACACAGACGAGTCTCGGGAATATCAGGAAGTATTTCTTCAGCCTCGGGATGGCCAGGAAATGGAATGACCTGGAAAAGGAAGTGGAGGCAGGCTCCATACAAAAGGACCCCAGTGGAAATAAGTCACTTTGTCTGACTTTTCTGGGCTATTCTAGGTTCTCTGCACATATGCTGATCTATGTAACTGTATTTGTGTATACCTGAATAAACTTAGTTTTAATAAGAGTACAGCTGATGAGGCTAGGCAGCAGTGAATCTGGAAAGGCTGCTAGTTGAGGAGCGGGGCCAGGAACTGTCGACATCCCTGCTACCACATATAGGTACCAGGCACGCTCTCTGGCTTTCTCTCTCTTTGTCTCTCTTGGGCTCTCTCTCGGGCTCTCTCTCTCTCTCGGGCTCGCTCTCTCTCTTGGGCTCGCTCTCTCTCTCGGGCTCGCTCTCTCTCTCGGGCTCGCTCTCTCTCTTGGGCTCTCTCTCAGGCTCTCGGGCTCGCTCGCTCTCTCTCTCGGGCTCTCTCTCTCTCAGGCTCTCTCTCTCTCTCTCGGGCTCTCTCTCTCTCGGGCTCTCTCTCTCTCTCTCGGGCTCTCTCTCTCTCGGGCTCTCTCTCTCTCTCTCCTCTCTCTCTCTCTCTCGGGCTCTCTCTCTCTCTCTCGGGCTCTCTCTCTCTCTCTCTCGGGCTCTCTCTCTCTCTCTCTCGGGCTCTCTCTCTCTCTCTCTCGGGCTCTCTCTCTCTCTCCTCTCTCGGTCTCTCTCTCTCTCTCTCTCTCTCGGGCTCTCTCTCTCTCTCGGGCTCTCTCTCTCTCTCTCGGCTCTCTCTCTCTCTCTCGGCTCTCTCTCTCTCTCTCTCTCCTCTCTCTCTCTCTCTCTCTCTCTTCGGCTCTCTCTCTCTCGGTCTCTCTCTCTCTCGTCTCTCTCTCTCTCTCAGTCTCTCAGTCTCTCTCTCGCTCCTTCTCTCTCAGTCTCTCTCTCTCTCTCAGTCTCTCGTCTCTCTCTCTCTCTCTCTCTCTCTTCTCTCTCTCTCTCTCTCTCTCTCTCTCTCTACACACACACACACACACACACACACACACACACAACACACACACACACACACACACACACACACACACACACACTACTCTATATACAACAGGCCTAGTGTCTAATCGACATGTGTCTAGGACAAAATGGTAACTAACACACACATACACACACACATACAACAGGCCTAGTGTCTAATCGACTTGTGCCTAGGACAAAATGGTAACTAACACACACACACACACACACACACACACACACACACAAACACACACAACACACACACACACACACACACACACGTGAAGTTAATGAGGAGAATTAAATCTGATGAGGACCAGGCAGGACTTCAAAGAGACCTGGACAGACTGGACGCCAGGTCCAGCAAATGGCTTCTCGAATTTAATCCTGCCAAATGCAAAGTCATGAAGATAGGGGAAGGGCACAGAAGACCACAGACAGAGTATAGGCTAGGTGGCCAAAGACTGCAAACCTCACTCAAGGAGAAAGATCTTGGGGTGAGTATAACACCGAGCATGTCTCCGGAAGCACACATCAATCAGATAACTGCTGCAGCATATGGGCGCCTGGCAAACCTGAGAACAGCATTCCGATACCTTAGTAAGTAATCGTTCAAGACACTGTACACCGTGTATGTCAGGCCCATACTGGAGTATGCAGCACCTGTTTGGAACCCGCACTTGATAAAGCACGTCAAGAAACTAGAGAAAGTACAAAGGTTTGCGACAAGGTTAGTTCCAGAGCTAAGGGGAATGTCCTACGAAGAAAGATTAGGGGAAATCGGCCTGACGACACTGGAGGACAGGAGGGTCAGGGGAGACATGATAACGACATATAAAATACTGCATGGAATAGACAAGGTGGACAAAGACAGGATGTTCCAGGGAGGGGACACAGAAACAAGAGGCCACAATTGGAAGTTGAAGACACAAATGAGTCAGAGAGATATTAGGAAGTATTTCTTCAGTCATAGAGTTGTAAGGCAGTGGAATAGCCTAGAAAATGACGTAGTGGAGGCAGGAACCATACACAGTTTTAAGACGAGGTTTGATAAAGCTCATGGAGCGGGGAGAGAGAGGGCCCAGTAGCAACCGGTGAAGAGGCGGGGCCAGGAGCTAAGACTCGACCCCTGCAACCACAAATAGGTGAGTACACGCGCGCGCGCGCGCACACACACACAACACACACACACACACACACACACACACACACACACACACACACACACACACACACACACACATACACATACACATACACATACATACACATACCTACCTACCTGGTCAAGCACGTCAAGAAATTAGAGAAACTTCAAAGGTTTACAACAAGACTAGTCCTGGGGCTAAGGGGAATGTTCTATGAAGAAAAGTTAAGGGAAATTGACCTGACAACATTGGAGGACAGGAGGAACGGGAGGGACGTGATAACGACACAAAATACTGCAAGGAATTGATAAGGTGGACAAAGACAGGATGTTCCAGAGATGGGACACAGCAACAAGGGGTCACAATTGGAAGTTGAAGACTCGGATGAGTCACAGGGATGTTAAAGAAAAAATAATAAAGAATAAAGATTTTATTTCTTTGCAAAGGTTACAGTGTGTAATTGCAGTTTTGATTTGTTAAGTACAAAGAAAGCCACTATCATGCCGAGGCATTTCAGGCAGACTAGTCCTAGCACATAACTACTTAAGTCTAGACCAGATAAGAGTGGTTAACTTTTTAATAAAACTTTATTTTATCTTAATACTTATGCGAGGTAGTCAAGGGGGAGGTTTGTAAATACTGTACCATAACAACCTTGAAGTTGCACATAATGAAAACAATACATATTACAATTAATGGTTCAAACAGTAATATTTTATGGATTGGTAGATGTTTTAATAGACTAGAGGTCATATAATATAATATTTGGGAGAGTTGCTTCAAATTGATTGGAAGTTATTTTGGTTGGCTTGGTTAGTATTAAGAGATGAGATGTATGTAGTCAAGGGATCCTTTAAGAAGAACATTGGACCCTCGACCAACGATGGCATTGTCTAACGTTAAATCCGACTAGCGATACATTTTAACGCAAAAATTTTGCCTCGACTAGCACTAAAAAAACTCAACCAATACAATTTGTTCCGTCTGAGACGCGTCCACTTGTGGCCAGTGTTTACAAGTCAGCCAGCCACCGCGGTCCCATCCAAACATACAATCGGAACATTTCATATTATCACAGCGTTTTTAGTGATTGCACCTGCAAAATAAGTCACCATGGGCCCCAAGAAAGCTTCTAGTGCCAACCCTACAGCAAAAAGGGTGAGAATTACTATAGATATGAAGAAAGAGATCATTGCTAAGTATGAAAGTGGAGTGTGTGTCTCCGAGCTGGCCAGGTTGTACACAAAACCCCAATCAACCATCGCTACTATTGTGGCCAAGAAAACGGCAGTCAAGGAAGCTGTTCTTGCCAAAGGTGCAACTATGTTTTTGAAACTGAGATCGCAAGTGATAGAAGATGTTGAGAGACTGTTATTGATGTGGATAAACGAAAAACAGATAGCAGGAGATAGCATCTCTCAAGCGATCATATGTGAAAAGGCTAGGAAGTTGCACGAGGATTTAATTAGAAAAATGCCTGCAACTAGTGGTGATGTGAGTGAATTTAAAGCCAGCAAAGGTTGGTTTGAGAGATTTAAGAATCGTAGTGGCATACATAGTGTGATAAGGCATGGTGAGGCTGCCAGTTTGGACCAAAAAGCAGCTGAAAAATATGTGCAGAAATTCAAGGAGTACATAGACAGTGAAGAATTGAAACCTGAACAAGTGTTTAATTGTGACACTGACAATGTTGTGAAACACTTTAGGAATGTCATAAAGGAACGGGAGGTACAGGCCTCTATGGACAGATATGTTGTGTGACAGAGGTCCAGTGACTCTGAAGTTGGTCCTAGTGGCATTAAAAGAAGGGAAGTAACCCCAGAAAAGGACTTGACACCTCAAGTCCTAATGGAAGGGGATTCCCCTTCTAAACACTAACACCATCCACAGTCTCCCCTCCTCCCATCCCATCAATCATCACCAGATCTTCAATAAAGGTAAGTGTCATGTAATTGTACACCTACCATCCGACTTACGACCGAGTTCGGTTCCGAGAAACCAGTCGTAAGTCGAAATGGTCGTAAGTCGAACTTTACTACTGAATATCAACATCACATTTTTGTAATGACTTTATTTTATTGTTTTATTTTGGTATTTGATGTTTTACTTTACTTTTTATGCTGTTAGTACTGTATTTTATACTGTAAGGTTTAGGATAAACACTGTGTACAACACAAATAGTTGTTTATTTCCCAGAAATTTGGCATAAAAAACACGGTCATAAGTCGAGTGGTTGTAAATTGAGCAGGTCGTAAGTCGGATGGTAGGTGTACATGTCTTCTTCAGTTTGTGTGTATTAAAATTAATATTTCATGTGGTATAAAAAAATTTTCAACACTTTTGGGTGTCTTGCACGGATTCATTTGATTTCCATTATTTCTTATGGGGAAAATTAACTCGACTAATGATAATTTTGATTAACGATGAGCTCTCGGGAACGGATTAATATCATTCGTCGAGGGTCCACTGTGTATCTTCAGTCATAGAGTTATCAGAAAGTGGAATAGTCTGGAGAGAGATGTAGTAGAGGCAGGATCCATACATAGTTTTAAGACGAGGTATGATAAAGCTCGTGGAACAGGGGGTGAGAGAGACAGCACCTAGTAGTGACCAGTGAAGAAGCAGGGCCAGGAGTTATGATTTGACCCCTGCAGTCACAATTAGGTGAGTGCGCACGCACATTCACGAGTGAGGCACTTCACTGAATCGAGGAATACTGTACAGTAAATAAACAACAAATGACTGAGAAGAGGTGTTGGAATGGGCAAGTGTGACAAGCAGGATTCCATTAGGGTAAGTACGTACTTGGATTAGTACTATTTCTTGAGGATGTGAACGATGTGACAAAAGAGTTAGAGGCATCCCTGTTCATGGATCATGTGAAACTGTTGAGATTACAGATAGGAGAGGTCCTGGAACCACTACAAACAGACATTGAACAGCCGTGGGGTTGGTCTGACAAGTGGCTATTAAAATTTAACCCCAGCAAATACCATGTTATTAAAATTAGGGAAGGGCAAAGAAGACTAGAAATGGAATACAGGTTTGGGAGGAAGTGGGACAAAAGCTGCAATGCTGTCTCAGGAAGAAGAATCTCAGGGTGAGCATAGTTCTTTGCAAATCATCTGAGGTGCACATCAACCGAATAACCTCCACAACAGATGCACATCTGGCAAATCTAAGGGTAGCTTTCAGGAACCTCACTAGGGAATTATTCAGAGTGCTATATGTATATGGTATATATCAGGCCCGTCCTGGAGTATGGAACACCAGTATGGAGCCCTCATTTAATTAAGCATGTCAAGATGCTGGTAAAAGTGCAGAAGTTTGCAATGAGATACTGTATACAAAATGCAAGAGGCTTACCAGATAGGATGGAAGGAACATAGGACACATGGGAGTGATGATGTTAAATGACCTTTCTTTAAGAGCACCAGTGATGGAGTGGAGAGTGAGAACTTTCATCGTTCAAATCACTTATGCTCTCTCTCTCTTGAAGTGTTGTTTGGTGTTAATGACTCTGTTTAGAGCAGAAGAGATATCAGAGTTGTAACAAAGATCATTTATGACTTTCAAAGAGACAATAAAGGAACCTTTTCATTTTTCTGAATCTCCCAGAAGTACAGCGGTACCCCGAGTTTCGGCTATAATTCGTTCCAATAGGCTGTTCGAGTGCCGTTACTGAACGAATTGGTTCCCATAAGGAATAACGTAAATTAGATTAGTCTGTTTCAGGCCCCCAAAAATACACTTACAATAATACGCTTACATAATTGTTCGAGTTGGGAGCTGTACGAAACTCAGGGTGCCACTGTACTGTATTATCAGTATAAAACAACTTTGACAACTTTAAATTCATTTTTAATTCATTATCTTTTGAACCCACATGTCTCTTCAACTTTTCAACAATTACTTCTTTAATAATTATCAGTTAATACTTCTTTCAGCATCCCAGTCTTCTCTGAAAAACATTGTTGACATCTCACTGGCAGATAGTCGTTTCCTCTCCTACACACCCTAACCTGAGCCTCTCTTTTTCTTTTATGCTTCTAATAACTTAGCATGTATTTCATACATTTCACAATCTGCCACATTGCTTACATATCCACCCTATCATATGCTTCTTTCACATACCTAAATTAAACAAACAAATACTTTTCCTTGTCTAAATACTGCTCACTGTATTTCCTTTATTACACACACAATCCAAACTTCCTGTTCCTCTCCTAAATCCACCATGTTCCTTTGCAATCCTGTTGCCTGTCTTTGCTCTCTTTCAATGATAATTCTGCTTCACACATACTTAACAGACTTATTCTCTTATAATTCTTGTATATTTTTGTGCCCTTTTTCCTTATAGAAAGGCACTGTTCTTTCAAGAAATTCACACACACTTGCACACCAAGCCTTAAATACAACACCAACGACAATGATAAAGAAGAAATGCTAAAGTTCATATTCAAAAGTGACAGCATGATCATCAGGATGTTAAGTTCTAAAAAAAAAAATGTGCTTTAAACTAATAATTGAAATCAGTAGCAGAGTTCTGACTCTTAGCAGACTCTGTCAAGGTGTAGAACAGTCCAGAAACTGCGTAAAAAGATATTTCTTCCCAACAGCACAGGGCTTAGTCTAAAAATTTCAGCAGTAATTCGCAAAAACATACTCAAGCCAAAGGTATTATGTACTTAGATTCATTTAACTTAATAACTTTAAGTGTTATTGAACAGAGTTTAAATTCAGTTTTTGCTTTGAAAGGGTGCCAATGCAGCTGATACATGTAAGGGTTAATAGGAATCCGAGCTTGACTCATGGCCGGACTCCAGGAGTAGAAAGACTTGAAACTCATCAGAGGTATCAGTTGGGATCAAATACACCAAATATTCTTAAACTAGTCTGCACCTGGTCTTGACATCTTGGTCTTGATCCACTTCATTCTTTTTGTTTTACCTCTTTTCACCGTACTAATTGCCCCACCCACTTCCTCCACACTCATCTGTGGTTGCTTCCTTTTTTTTTAATATACCCTATTCTTCCTTGCTCTCACCCCATCTATTCAAAATAGTCTTTGTTACCACTACTATCCTATCTAGTAACTCCCCACTTTTCACTCCTTACCGCCCAGCCCATTTACTTAATCGGCATTTTCACCAATTTATCTCCCTCTAAAACTGTTATTCTCTGCATAATTTACTCTTTTGCCACTGTGTTAACTTCCCTTTTATCTCTCTGCTTACACTCATCTCTCTACTTATACTCTACCTTCCTTGGATATTTTTTTTTTATAAATGTTAAATATGCTAACTTGTTCATCATTAATACTCTTTTTACCTCATCATTCTGCTAGTTATTCCTCTTCCCAGTTATTCCTTGTACCCATTCATCATTTATTCAGACTTCCTACAGTAAATATATTTGCCACTTTATAAACTTAGGATGAAAATATTTTAAGGTAAGTATTGTGTGTACTGTATATGCATTTTTTAGGCCTAGCTCTATTGCACACTTAATAGATGATAGTGTAAACATGTTATCAGGCTTATATATGCATTTGAAAGTGAAAAAAGGCTTATGTTTCGATTTAGAGCAATTTTTGCTTTACAGCAGTAGCCTGAAACTTAACCTGCTGTGGGGCCCTCCTGTACCTCTCATGAACCATCCCCTTCTTTAGATTGATTACTTTCACATCTGTTTTTTACATTCTTATGCTAGCTGCCGGGGAGCACTAAATAATGAGTGACATGTCAGTCACTCCACCAAAATCATGTACATCAAGGTATTTATTTACACTTCAACCTTTTATCCACCAAGAGCAAAGTGCTTATTATGCCTCATACACTTTTTTGTCTTCTTTTTAAAACTGTTTATAAATGATTCTCGCATAATTCGTGTTCACATAGCATATTGTTAATAAAACACTAATGAAATTATGTACGTACTGTATTTATAGTAATATTTTCTCTTGAAACATCAGTAAAGTAATTGTATATGCTAGTTTGTCTGTTATAAAAATAAAACAGTTAATATTTACTTTCTCTGATTAACAAGACTGTTGAAAAAATATTATGATGGTTTTCCATACCAGTAAGAAAGTTGAATGGAAGAAATGTGAAAGAACATACATATAGGCACAATTAAGGAGACCAACATGGCATAAAGAATCACTTGTAAAAGCAGTACGGTATTGAAGGATACAGTAGTGTGATTAGTTTATATTCTTATTTCTTTGACTGTATTTCAGAGGAGCTGAAACTCTACACCAAAAATGGTCTTCTAGAAGTTTCTGGAGGTTATTTATCATTCTGTATATCGTTTATATTATGTTTTTAGTCAAAATTTATTGTTACATGTATCCTTTAAATATATAAGTTATAATGAATGACTGTCAAGGAATAAACACAGTACCCGACTGGGACTCAAACAGTGGTCCCCATGCAGTGTTCTGTTTATTTATGTATCCTTTACATTATATGCTAATATAATTTATATGAATTATAAGTTTTCATGCTGTGTTTTTATTTTATCAGTTCCTTGGAAGCACAGAGGTTGACCAACCAAAGGGGATTGAGGTGGTGAAGGAGGGCATTCGCAAACTTAAATTCAACCAGCAGTTGAAAAAAGCCGAGGGAAGCAAGACTCCCAAAGTAGAATTGACTGTATCTATTGATGGAGTTGCTATACACGAACCTAAAACTAAGGTAAGTAATTTGACCTGCAGGCTTTTCCTATCTCATATTTGTTAATAATTTATGTGGAAGCTATGCAGATATATGTTGTCATAACACTAATAGTGTTGCTGTAATGTAATTGATTGATTTTTGTATGCACTAGTGAAGAGGTTATGCTATGCTATTCATAATACAGTACTGTATTATTTTACCATGCAGTATTTATATACTTTTTCCACCACATTGCATTCTAAAGACTGTGTATAACACTCCCTTGCATAAACTTTTAAGTTTAAAACTAAAAACTAAGAGTTTGAAATAAACACAAAGAATCAGTTTTACATCTGGGTATCACACATACTTAGCTAGAATTATTTTTTTACATGCAATAATTAGATTTACTCATGCATAATGACTTATCAGCTGATAACATAAAACCTAAGACATAATGTGTAGATTTTATCCCAGTGGGCTCGCATATACAGAAAATCAGGAAAAAATGTCTTCAGCATGAAGGTATAATCAGCCACAGAAATGCTATATTGTCCTTACCAAACACAATTCCCAGTCTAGCCCCTGCAAATGTTTCAACCCACAGATGTTTACAAATTGCTACATATATACAGCATTGCTATAATGACCTGTACTTTATTCCATTTCAAAGGAGCTAGGTGAGTCAAGACACTATAGAAATAAGTACAATAATAATAGTGAGGATGGTGAGCCCTGGAATGGTCTTCAGGTGACCTTGCAGCTATAGTAGGCAGAATACAAATTGAGTGGCTTCCACATTAGAACCACAGGTACCAACACCAGCAAAAATACCAATACAGATGCAATATTATTTTTTTTTTTTGTGAAAACACATTAGAAGGTCTTTAATCATGCAGCAATAATGAATTTACAGTAAAATACACGTATTACATGTACGTTATCTATTCACTGAGACAAATGCAGTGGTTATGCCCAGTGCAGAAACCCTTGGAAATAAGTAAAGGACTTCAATGGCAATAAGTCACTCTGACTTTTTTGGGTTATCCTAAGTACTTTACACATGTGCTGTTATGTATGATAATCTGTGTAACTGTATTTGTGTATACCTGAATAAACTTACTTACTTAAGGACTCGTAGCTCGATCGCAAGCGCACTCAGCTCTCACACTGAGGTCCGGAGTATAAATCCCCGGTAAGGCTGGAAAACATAAGGATGTGTTTCCATAAGACACCTGCTGTCCATGTTCACCCATCAGTATAAAATGGGTACCTGGGTGTTAGTTGACTGGTGTGGTTGCATCATTGGACAAAACTGACCTAATTTGCTCAAAATGCTCTGCATAACAAGAGCCTTTCTTTATAATAGTACATATGACATTGATGTCATCTAGGCCTGTATACCTTGTACATGTACTTGTATAAATAAAGATATTATTATTATGACACTGAAATATAGATACCCAAGTTCAGCTCTATCAGACGAGACAGACAAAACAGGTCACCTGTTAGGGTCAGTCTTTACATTAAAGACTCACTCATCTGCACAGAACTAATTAACACCACAGTATAATATACTCAAAATATTGGCAGTGAACAATAAAAATAATAATTTAGTCATGTATAAATGCCACCAGATGCAAATTATTCAAGTTTAGCACTTTAATTTATAGTACCCATTACTCTCCCAATAGCTACATACTAAATAACCCTTAATCCGGAGTTATGGTAGGCACCCATAGGTCTAAATAATACACAGTGTCCTGACATATTTTCATTTATGGCTACTTGTTTTTGCCAGTGACAATTTATCCAGCGAGAAAACTCTTCATGTGGCATCACAGAATCCTTTTGTCTTAAGTTGTGAATCAGTGTGAATCAGCATGAACCAACATGATGTTTTGCAGTGGAAATCACTAGACATATTTTTCACTTTTAAACATTTCTTTTGATTCCCTGAGGTAACTAAAGTATGTGTTTCCATTGGCACAGCGTAACCTCCACCAGTACCCGCTGCACAGGATTAGCTACTGTGCTGATGACAAGGCAGAGAAGCGCTTCTTCAGTTTTATTGCCAAGGAGGCAGACTCTGACAAACACACATGCTTTGTCTTTGTCAGTGATAAGTTGGTAAGTCTGTAGCTCTTATGTTGATCTTCCATAATGCTGGTGAAAGGCTCTTGATTCAAGTAATTGAATCTACTGTCCCCTTCTTGCATCAGACTTGATTGTCTCCTATTTACATGGTGCACTGTGACTTACAGGTTTTAGTGCTTTCCTATGATGATGATGATGATATAATAATAACAATAATAATAATAATAGTGGCATTATAATTGTCAAAAAAAAAATCAGGTATTTATTGTGATGTGCGACTTAGTCATTAGATGACTCGGTGGAGTTTTTGTTCATTGGACCAAGGCCTTGCACTGCCTTACTAGTTCATCCCATAAAATATAAATCTTTCTTTCTTTCTTTCAACACACCGGCCGTATCCCACCGAGGCGGGGTGGCCCAAAAGGAAAAACGAAAGTTTCTCCTTTTACATTTAGTAATATATACAGGAGAAGAGGTTACTAGCCCCTTGCTCCCGGCATTTTAGTCGCCTCTTACAACACGCATGGCTTACGGAGGAAGAATTCTGTTCCACTTCCCCATGGAGATAAGAGGAAATAAACAAGAATAAGAACTAGAAAGAAAATAGAAGAAAACCCAGAGGGGTGTGTATATATGTGCTTGTACATGTATGTGTAGTGTGACCTAAGTGTAAGTAGAAGTAGCAAGACGTACCTGAAATCTTGCATGTTCACGAGACAGAAAAAAGGACACCAGCAATCCTACCATCATGTAAAACAATTACAGGCTTTCGTTTTACACTCACTTGGCAGGACGGTAGTACCTCCCTGGGCGGTTGCTGTCTACCAACCTACTACCTATAATAAAATATAAATATCATACCATAAAATGTGATGGTAGGTTTTCCACTCCATTTAACAAACACAGGCAAGCACACACTAGTGTGGTAGATGAAGAGTGAGTCTGCTTGAGGCTTTGGCTTGCTGTGTTGCATGCTGCCTCAATATCTCCCCCCCAACACCTACACAAGTGTGCTCATTACAGAAATGATCTGTAGTCAGCTATCTTGCAATGTTCCTCTACATAGTGCAATTTTTTGTAAATGCAGTTGAAAAAGTGTAGTCAAAATTGAATAGTATAGGGAGAGACCTTCACTTTACATACACTTTTTTAGTTGCATTTACAATATATCACAGTATGTAAAGAAACTTTATAAGATGGCTTTCTGTACCACTACGTATTCCTCTATTTTTCTCCATAAAACATAGTCTCTTAACCCGTAAACGGTCCAAACGTATATACAGTGGACCCCCGGTTTACGATCAGCTCCCAATGCGACCAATTATGTAAGTGTATTTACGTAAGTGTGTTTGTATGTGTATGTTTGGGGGTCTGAAATGGACTAATCTAATTCACAATATTCCTTATGGGAACAAATTCGGTCAGTACTGGCACCTGAACATACTTCTGGAATGAAATAATATCGTAAACCGGGGGTCTACTGTATACGTTTTTTCAACATTTGAAAGTATGTAAAAAAAGTAGATCTTCTTTTTGTTTTTTTACATTTGAAAATGTGTAAAAAAAACTTTGATCTACTTTTTTTTTTTGTTATATTTGAAAATATGTAAAAAAAAACATAGATCTACTTTTGTAGCACTACGCATGTGAACGTAGATCTGCTTGGACCGTTTACGGGTTAATATAACAGATTTAAATTTCAAAACTATCTCAATGCACTTTACTAATATAAATTAAATAGAAACATTAAAGTGATATATTAAATATTAAAAAAAAAAAATAGTAAGGTAGCATAATATTGTGCTGGACTTGTCTTAGTACATATCTAAGTTATTCTTATTAACTTTATAGGGAAACACTGAACATACAGTGGCTCTGGAATGGGAGGGGTGAGGAATAATTGTTTGATCTGAGGAAGGGGAAAGTAACTTAAAAGTGCCCAGTGAGGGGATGATTGGATGGTCAATTACCTGGGTGTGCTAGTAGTTGCTGGAGCCCACTTTATAACTCATGAAATTGTAATAACACAATTGCAGACAAATCACAGAATGGGTGGGGCTGGAACCCATCCATTCTGTCATTTACCCACTTTACAAGCTAACTGAAAATTTAGCAGAAAAGTATACCCTATGTGTTTTTTCAAAACATTGATAAAAAGCCAACTTATGGTTATAATTGTTAGCCATATACAAGTAATCAGAGCATATTGCTTTAGAGTGCACTTAACTAAATTTGCTGAAATTCTTTACAGGCAGAAGAAATCACCCTTACAATTGGACAAGCTTTTGACCTAGCATATCGACGGTTTGTGGAGACGTCAGGCCGTGAAGTTGAGATGCGTCGTCAGCTGCTTTTGTTACAGAAGCGTGTGCAGGGCCTTGAAGATGAGAATCAAATACTAAAAACTCGCATCACACAGCTGGCCACTCTCAAAAACAGACCTGATGTTGAAGAGTACATGAAAGAAAACAATGTAAGTTTCACATATATAGATGATACCATTTATATCAGTATAGCATACAGTTTATTCTGGTAACACACACAGTATGTGAGAGATTTTTTAACCTTTAAATATTGTTACTTGCACCCCCATATCAAGCTGGTATGAACTGTTCTTGAATATTGAGTTGGATTTTGTCAGCCTTCCTGTTTTGTGCTGGAGCTACCTACAGTTAGTTTTCACACACTTTCTTTTCATCGTCTTGAGTGGTGCAAATGGTTGATTCACCGAGACCAAATACTTGGGCAGTTCGCATCACACATTACCCACTGGAAATTGTGTGTAATATTTCAACTTTCTTCTTAGAAACCTTCAGAGTTTCATTCTTAACTTTCTTCTTGAAACCTCGAGCATCACTATTATTCTTTCTGGGTGCCATCATTAACGTACAGAGATGAGGTGAGGTGATGATGATTTCGAAAATATTTGTCATGACACTGAGTCACTCGTGCCGCCCTTCTAGGGAAAAAATGTTAGTGTCATCATGGATGGACCAGCAAAGGGTGACCCCCAAGCTTCTGCCATAAACAGTGGCCTCACCCACTAAGACCAAATAATCATGAAGGGGGAAATTACCACCGCAGTTTTTGTATGTCTCTATTCAGTCTTTAACGAATTTGTTGCATTTTTCAGGGAGTTTTCAAAAGGAAATCTGTAAATGACTTGCCAGAAGGAATTAAAGACTAGTTGACTGTTTCTCAAGATAATTCAAAAATCCTGTTTAAGATAAGCAATAAAAATGATTGTGCATTCCTACAGAAGACTTGGACAGATTGAGCAAATGGAGTAAGAAATGGTTGATGGAATTTATAGTGTTGAAAGAGAAAACTGGTCACATGGAATATAAATTGTGTAACTAAATGCTAAAAGTGTTGCTCGAAATCCCACAAATGAAATTGCGAGAAACTTCTGTGCTAAACTGGTCAACTTTTAAAAGAAAAATTTGAATATATTGACGAAGAAATGCAGAAAAAGCTGTTACTAAAACTTGTAACACCAAAATTAGAATATGCAGTAGTGGTATGGTGTTCACATCCAAAAATCTTGTGAACAAGCTACAAAAGTTTTAAGATGCTAAAAAAAAAAATATGAAGAGAGGCTGAAAACACTGGAGAAAAACATGAGACATAATATTTAGTACTATAAAAGGATATGAATGAATTGACAAGAAAACCTCCTTACCTAGCACAAGAAGCCATAATTACAATTTAAGAACTACTGAAAGGAGACTAGTTTTTCCCTGCAGATAAAGTAGTAGATGAATGTAATGAGTTGTAAGTCTAGGTAATAAGTGTTACAACCACTGGAAACTAAAAGACTTTAAGAACCAAAATCCTGAAGCTGAGACACTAGCACCTTAGTCTTGCTTCTGTAGCAACAAATAGGTAATTATATAACCAGGTGTGATACATTAACATATTGGCTTCATTGACTGATTATGGTGCCTGGTGGCAAAAGCTCTCGCTTCACACGGTGAGGGTCCGGGTACGATTCCTGGCGAAGGGGTGGAAATACTGGACGTGTTTCCTTACACCGGTTGTCTATGCTCACCCATCAGTAAAATGGGTACCTGGGTGTTAGTCGACTGGTGTGGGTCACATTCTGGGACAAAACTGACCTAATTTGCCCAAAATGCTCTGCATAACAAGCTGCTTTTTATATACGTAATAGTATGTCATTGATGTCAGCAAGGCCTGTATGCCTTGTACATGTCCTTGTAGTACATGGGAGGATTATCTGACTGTTCATTAAATCAGACTAATGTTAAAGAAAACAAAATAGCAAAAAAAAAAAAAAAAAAAATTAAGTATGTACTTTAATTCTCAAGGGGACAGAGTCAACAAGACATTTAATCAGTTCTAGTGTTCCACAGGAAAGTGTGCTTGAGCCATTGTTATGGAATGTCTACTTCAATGACCTTCTTGAACTCATCCCAGAATCCCATGTATATGCAGACAATTGTACTCAGACATTGCACTAAACATTGAAAATTAAGGCATACTAGCAGGGATGGTAGTGTACAATGCTAGCAGGGATGGTGGAAGTGAATGTTTTCACACTAACATTATGTATGCATCAAAACAAGCTCAGTATTAGTTAACTGTTAGGTAAATGCTTTATATTTTGTTTAGCGCTATGAGCTTTTCCTTTCATTGTACGATATTTCTATGTTATTAAGAGTTGTACAGAAATCCTTCCAGCAGTGGCAGTTTTTTTTTTACTATATCAGCTGTCTCCCACCGAAGCAGGGTGACCTAAAAAAGAAAGAAACATTTCATTATCATTCAACACTCACCATTATTGACACATAATCACCGTTTTTGCAGAAGTGCCCAGATGTGACAGTTTAGATGTCACTCCAAACAGCCAATATCCCAAAGCCCTCCTTTAAAGAGCAGGCATTGTACTTCCTACCTCCAGGACTCAAGTCTGGCTAACTGATTTCCCTGAATCCCTTCACAAAATATTACCCTGCTCACACTCCAACAGCTAATAAAGTCCCAAAAACCATTCACTCCTATCTAACACACTCACACATACCTACTATATGTCCAAGTCCCTTAATTACATAGTGCATAATTTGTTTAAATTATTTGTTTCTCATGCAGATTTCTGATTTGCTGACCTTAAATGGTGAGAGCAGCACTGATCCTGAGTGTGAACCACTAGCCACCTCTAGTGCTGTCAGCCCACCACCCATCCCACCACGCAACACAACCAAACAGGATGACGACACTACTCTAATAGAGTAATTAACATTAAATCTTTGTTAACTCTTCAATAATGTATATTGCTTACTGGCACTATACTGTATATTATTAGCTGTGTCAATAATTTTTACACAGAATGTGTAGGAATATGTAACCACCACCACCTCTTCTTTTATTGAAGATGGGAGAAGAGGTGGTGGATAATTGGACAGTTGTTGCATCCAACAGTACAACAAGCAAAAATTATCGTAAAAAGATGAGAAAACTGCCACATGCAGTATATGTGCTGCAGTATGTGTATGTGATTGTTATTGTGACTTGATGTTCAGTATACCTAACAAGATAAAAATCAGTAACTCACAACTTAAGATGATAGACGTTAATACTGTACTGCGCTTCTAAGTGATATTTTTTTCAGTTTTGTAATATTAAGCTGTATTATTTTATTTTTATTTCAACATGCTAGCTGTCTTCTAACGAGGCAGGGTGTGTGTATCGTTTGTATTAATTTGAATAATCACAATGTTTCAGTGACATCTTATCAAGTGCACTAACTTCAAATGGCGCCGATGATGATGATTTTAATCCCCGGGCAGAAGAAACACTAATGTCCAGTGAGGGTGTTACAAAGAGCTTGTCCAGTAATGGAAATCATGAGGCTCCTGAAGTGGAGGATGACTTTGATCCCAGAGCAGAAGAGAAGAAGCCTCCATCATTCGCTAGTGTGCCTACACCTGAGTTAAATGGCTTTACTTCTCCACCAGCACTCGGTAAGGTTCAAGTCAAATGTGCTTATGTTTTAACCTAAAAGTGTATAGGATTTATTGCTTCTCTTCTGATTTGGATTTGTGCTATACTTTCTCTGTATTTTAATATTCTGACAACACTTCTTGCACATTGCAGTTCTCTATTCTCAAGATTTAATAGTGAACTATTCTCTGATATTATTTCATGTGTGTTTTATCATTCTGACTTCACTTCCTAGTTATTTGAGTTCTCCATCTAAACTTTGTCATTGAAACCCATGAAACACATTGACTGCAATATGCCATCTGTTCAACATTTCAGATTTGTTGAGTAATAATAATAATAACAATAATAATAATAATTTTCTTTTATTCCTATAGTGTAGGAGCAGACTGTTTGATTCACTCATGACACCGTATTCTACACTTTGCACAAGTGTGAGATCACTACAATGTTTTCTCTCATCATTGAAGGGTTTAACTGTATCATATAATCTCCATCCATCAACTAGTGATGATTTCTTTCCACAGTTCCCCCTCCTCGGCCAGTTAGGGCTCATGAGCAGCCTGCACATAATGGACTCTCAGATGATATATTTGACACAAGTGGAGATCCTTTTGGTTCTGTGGCTTTCTCCCCTCCTAGCAACAGTAATGATGCTCTTGCACAGTTCATTGAAATGAAGGTAAGCTTTTATATTACAGTTACAGTAACATTATTTTATCTGAATATAATACTGGTTTATGAATTCTAATATTAATTACACTATGAGATTTTCTTTCTGGTGCATGTATACCATAAAAAAAGGTGTTGGGTCTTAGTAAGTTTTTAGTACACTTAATCCTGTGCCTCTTCGTTTTGCTGCAAACATTCATATAATTTTAGTGGTTGTGTTATTGGATATACCCTGTAATACTCATGAGATTTGCTATGGATTTATTGATGCAGTAGTAAAGAGGAAACACAAGAGGGAAGTTTGTGTGTGTGTGTATGTGTGTGTGTGTGTGTGTGTGTGTGTGTGTGTGTGTGTGTGTGCAGCAACAGAGAAAACATGCCTACTTTCCCATGGTCAGCCAGTTGAGCTTAAATTGGGCTTGCTGACTCTCACCCTTTATTACAACCCAGGAGTCCAAATGGCCTGTTATCCTGGGTGTAAAGGGAGTAAAATAAACTCAGCAGAAAACTTTTGACTTATATTATCCTTCACCAATTTAGAACAGAAGTATGTACACTATATGCACTATGTACAGCAATAGATATTAGTGCACTCCACGGTAAGCAAGGCAGAATAGAAGCCACTAGAGAGCAGACCGTGCTTCAACCAGCTCTAGAATGGGAATGACAAGGGCAGACAGGAGAGTGGTACCCACATAACCTCTGCGATTGCCAAAACCATCTTCTCATTGGCTGGAACCTGGGTACTGGTTGAACGACGGGGCCCCATTGTCAACCCTCAGTCACCTGGTTTGCTGGTTGGGGGAGAGCCTGTAAATGAGGGTGTGTACATGCGCCGAATAAAGGTTACGTACTCTTTGCATGCCACACCATTTTCTCCCTTTACTTTTGTATGCATGTCATGGCTTTCCTGCAGTTTATGTTACAATAATTTCATGTTCATTATCTGCTTTACTTTCATAAACAACTATTTTGAAGCCCAGTCTTCCATCAGTATCTTCTGAGTTACTTTTGCTGTACTTATGACCATTCCTGTAAATTTATGAATTGGCAAGAAAACCTCAGAAGCATTAAGAATTATCAGCAGCTTCAGAAGATATAATTATGGAAATGGTATGAAATATGTACAAATAGGCGAGTAAGACGCACGTGCAACAATTAGGAATCTTTGTCGCAACATTTTACATACACAGTGGGGTTCTTCAGTTGAATAAAGAAAAGATAGCATCAGATGGTAAATATTATGCAGAAAATTTGGAGTGTGGAAATTAGGAGAAGGTGTGGAGTTAATAAAAGTATTAGTCAGAGGGCCGAAGAGGGGTTGTTGAGGTGGTTTGGCCATTTAGAGAGAATGGATCAAAGTAGAATGACATGGAGAGCATTTAAATCTGTAGGGGAAGGAAGGCGGAGTAGGGGTCGTCCTTGTAAAGGTTGGAAGGAAGGGGTAAGGGAGGTTTTGTGGGCGAGGGGCTTGGACTTCCAGCAGGCGTGCATGAGCATGTTCAATAGGAGTGAATGGAGACGAATGGTATTTGGGACCTGACGATGTGTTGGAGTGTGAGCAGGGTAATATTTAGTGAAGGGATTCAGGGAAACCGGTTATTTTTATATAGCCGAACCTGAGTCCAGGAAATGGGAAGTACAGTGCCTGCATTCTAAAGGAGGGGTTCAGGGTATTGGCAGTTTGGAGGGATATGTTGTGTATCTTTATACGTATGTGCTTTTAAACTGTTGTGTTCTGAGCACCTCGGCAAAAACAGTGATTATGTATGAGTGAGATGAAAGTGTTGAATGATGATGAAAGTATGTATTTTCTTTTTGGGGATTTTCTTTCTTTTTGGGTTACCCTGCCTCAGTGGGAGACAGCCAACTTGTTAAAAAAAAAAAAAAAGCATCAGATGGTGTGATCCATGCCTCACCTTTCATAGTATACAAGGCTCCTTTCTCATTCTTCAGCTTCTCATTGTTCTCTAGGCTGATGGACTGCCTCAGAACTACTACAAGGTGATTGACTGATTACATCATCTTTACCTCTCTACTGATGAAGCCTACTTTCTTGGTTATTCATACAAAACTTTTAGTTTACTTAACCTTAAGTACTATTCTAACATCTGGGAAACTTTCCCTTTACAAACTTTCTCAATGCAGTTGAAAAGAAAGCTGTTCATCTCAGGTTCCCACATTCATATTTCTAACCTTGACCCATTAACAAATTAAAATTGATTATCTTTTTTCTGCTGCTACTTTCACATCTTTTGTTTTCAAAATGTTGTTAGTTATATTTTTCCTATAGGGACATAGAATATAGAATATAGACAGCAACCGCCCAGGGAGGTACTACCGTTCTGCCAAGTGAGTGTAAAACGAAAGCCTGTAATTGTTTTACATGATGGTAGGATTGCTGGTGTCCTTTTTTTTTCTGTCTCATAAACATGCAAGATTTCAGGTACGTCTTGCTACTTCTACGTACACTTAGGTCACACTACACATACATGTACAAGCATATATATACACACCCCTCTGGGTTTTCTTCTATTTTCTTTCTAGTTCTTGTTCTTGTTTATTTCCTCTTATCTCCATGGGGAAGTGGAACAGAATTCTTCCTCCGTAAGCCATGCGTGTTGTAAGAGGCGACTAAAATGCCGGGAGCAAGGGGCTAGTAACCCCTTCTCCCATATAAATTACTAAATTTAAAAAGAGAAACTTTCATTTTTCTTTTTGGGCTACCCCGCCTTGGTGGGATACGGCCGGTTTGTTGAAAAAAAAAAAACAGAATATTTAGAGATGTATCTTCTCACAGATACAGTACTGCATTTCTTGTCACTTCTCGAATTAGTGTTGACACAGTTACTTTATGCTGATGATACGGTGCTTATGGGAGATTCTAAAGAAAAGTTGCAAATGTTAGTGGACGAGTTTGGGAGGGTGTGTAAAGGTTGAAAGTTGAAAGTGAACATAGATAAGAGTAAGGTGATGAGGGTATCAAATGATTTACATAAAGAAAAATTGGATATCACATTGGAGAGAGGGAGTATGGAAGAAGTGAATGTTTTTAGATATTTGGGAGTTGATGTGTCAGCGGATGGGTTTATGAAGGATGAGGTTAACCATAGAATTGATGAAGGAAAAAAAGTGAGTGGTGCATTGAGGTATATGTGGAGACAAAAAATGTTATCTATGGAGGCAAAGAAGGAAATGTATGAAAGTATAGTGGTGCCAACACTCTTATATGGGTGTGAAGCTTGGGTTGTAAATGCTGCAGTGAGGAGGCAGTTGGAGGCAGTAGAGATGTCCTGTCTAAGGGCAATGTGTGGTGTAAATATTTTGCAGAAAATTTGGAGTGTGGAAATTAGGAGGTGTGGAGTTAATAAAAGTATTAGTCAGAGGGCTGAAGAAGGGTTGTTGAGATGGTTTTGTCATTTAGAGAGAAAGGATCAAAGTAGAATGACATGGAGAACGTATAAATCTGTAGGGAAAGGAAGGCGGGGTAGGGGCCGTCCTTGAAAAGGTTGGAGGGAGGGGGTAAAGGAGGTTTTGTGGGCGAGGGGCTTGGACTTACAGCAAGCGTGTGTGAGCATGTTAGATAGGAGTGAATGGAGACGAATGGTTTTTGGGATCTGATTAGCTGCTGGAGTGTGAGCAGGGTAATATTTAGTGAAGGGATTCAGGGAAACCGGTTACTTTTATATAGCCGGACTTGAGTACTGGAAATGGGAAGTACAATGCCTACACTTTAAAGGAGGGATTTAGGATAATGGCAGTTTGGAGGGATATGTTATATAGCTTTACATATGCTTCTAAACTGTTGTATCTGGGTGCCTCTGCAAAAAGAGTGGTTATGTATGAGTGAGGGTGAAAGTGTTAAATGATGACAGTATTTTCTTTTTGGGTCACCCTGCCTCGGTGGGAGATTGCCAACTTGTTAAAAATAAAAAAGTACAGTATATAACTGAAAGTACCATGAACAAAGCAATAAGTACTGTGGAACCTTGATACTCAAACTTAATTCATTCCAGAAGGCTGTTCAAGCGCTGATCTGTTTGGGTATCGAACAGATTTTTCCAAACCAAGTTTCTTTTTGGTTGGCTGTTATCATTAATCTTTGTAGACCCCATTGTGACTTATTTATACAAATAATATAAAAAAAAAAAATGCCAAAAATGCGAAAAAATACGAAATAGTTTACAGTGAGATTCTGGCAGGTCGTGTTTGTTTGGTTGAGTGCCAAGCTTTGTTTGAGTACCAAGGTTCTACCGTAATCAAAGTTTGCTAAATGTGCTAACACTGGCTCTCTCAACAGGCTGGGTTCAGCCGGGGTCTTTCCTTTGGCACAACTGATGATGACTTCACCTTAGAAAGTTTGGACCCACTGAAGAACTGATTGGTAAGGACAAGATGTTAGAACCAACATGATGCCAGACACTTCCACATTATCAAAGTTTCCGTGTGGTTCTTTTATGAGGCACTTACCAGTTTCATTATTGTGAGCTGGTGTCAATGAGAGAAAAAATGGGCTGTGATACTTCCATGTTAAGAGTGGCAGTACTTGTAGTTCTCCTACAAGTGCTGAAAAGTATTATTGTGTTATTTACATATGCAGTTTTATTTACTTGATGTATTATGGTCTACCTGGAGCAGAACAAGTAGATATATTAACTTTTAATATACACAGATATTTATCATACTAGGATTCATTAATAAACTGCTTCAGGGCAACCTATTAATTCTGAATGTGTTTTTCCTTACAGTTAGCTCCTATGAGTTACATAACATTGATGGTTATAATACATAAATAAGATGTTATCACAGTTTCTGGCATATTGTAAATTGCAGCATTAAAGTCTATTTTGGAGCCTAATTTTTTGTTAACAAAACTACAAGTTGACTTTTACAATGGGTATAGAATAGCAAACACTAAATAAGGCTATGCCACTGTCATGAAACTAGAATCTGATGCCCAGGTCATCCAGTACCGGGTTGCAACCATGATCTGATTATACCAGTATTTATTAATATTATTACTGTATGTTCATTAAAAATATATTAACCTGTGTGGGTTATTCATTGCTGCTCTCTATAGATAAAGAAATGCTTTCAGTCTTTGGTGAATTTTTTCATGTATTTTTTTTGTTTGGTTTAGTAGATGTATTTTCTTTTATAGGTTTCTCGGTGCATGTGTGTCATATGCTAATATTTTTGGGTACAAACTGGACAAGAATTTTGTTTATGATGCATGTTTTCATTTAGATTGGAAAATGACTTATATTGAGAGCCAGTAATGGGATTTTTTCAAAAAGTGGTCACTGGATTTTCCATTCCAAAATCTTTTCTTTATGGACAATTAAAGATGTCAGTTCTAATGAGACTAGAGCAGCATTGACAGATCTGACATCTGGAACATGAAATGAGTGACCTGAAAAAATAATTTTGACATATTTAGGTAGTAAAATTCATTGTTATTGTTGACCTATATGTAATTTCCACAAGTATAGATTACAGTTCATAGCTGGAAAAAACTGAGGTTATCTTATATGCCAGGCTGACTTGCTTGCTGTAATTTATGGTATTACATTTACAAAGTGCACCAAACCCTTGTGGGTTATACAGCACCTCAGTTTATGGTAATCCATTACCATCACCTTAATCTTCCAAAGAAAATATACATTCCATGGTTGTTGTTGCAGTAGAGCCCTACATCTCATTGCATGATAATGGATGCAGCAGTAATCTTAGACATTGTTCATTAAAGAGGGTGCAAAAGGTCTTAGAGTTATCACTGTTAAATCTTGAATTCACTCTTTTGTTTCTATCAGAAATATGAAGAACTTGAATATCAGTAGTGACGACTGTAGCCCTTAGAATGAATAATCACTGCTGAAAAGGTTCACAGAGAATGCTGTCATACATCCATACATATAAAAAATTTATTAAGGACTGAAACTAGTAATTTAGAGGTTACAATGATAATGTAGGGTAAATATCTGATTGTTGGCAGATTGTGAAAAAATCAAGACTAATTAATAAGAATGACTCTACATTAAAAACATAGTAATTAATACATAGAAATTTTAATTTTGCAGATTTAATGTATGCAAGAGGTGTGAAACGTATAGATTGTGTGTAGTTGTGTCATGTTTGTGGTGCTGATATGGTATGCAAGAGGAGTGTAACGTAGAATGTGTGATTGTGTCATATTGGTGATGCTGGTATTTCTTCTGACACAGATTGTTTAGTAACATGTTTTTACCTACAAGAAACACCAGAGTAAATAAAAGTAGGAATATATCAAGAATGCTTTGGTATTATTTGCTGTGTTAGAGAATGTTCATCTTTGACTGGAGAGACTTCTGTTGTTAAAGTGAACATAAGAATAATAAGGCATTTCTATTTCGTGTTTGTCTATATTTAGGGACCTTATTAGTATTTTAAACAAAGCATATCAAGTAAATATGATTTTAGGAAAACATAGCAGTTATATTGTTTATTGTTGAAGTAAATTAATCCTTTGCATGTTTTTTTTTTTTTTTTTTTTTTTCTCTCTCAACAAGTCGGCCGTCTCCCACCGAGGCAGGGTGACCCAAAAAAGAAAGAAAATCCCCAAAAAGAAAATACTTTCATCATCATTCAACACTTTCACCACACTCGCACATTATCACTGTTTTTGCAGAGGTGCTCAGAATACAACAGTCTAGAAGCATACACATATAAAGATACACAACATATCCCTCCAAACTGCCAATATCCCAAACCCCTCCTTTAAAGTGCAGGCATTGTACTTCCCATTTCCAGGACTCAAGTCCGACTATATGAAAATAACCGGTTTCCCTGAATCCCTTCACTAAATATTACCCTGCTCACACTCCAACAGATCGTCAGGTCCCAAGTACCATTCGTCTCCATTCACTCCTATGTAACACGCTCACGCACGCTTGCTGGAAGTCCAAGCCCCTTGCCCACAAAACCTCCTTTACCCCCTCTCTCCAACCCTTTCGAGGACGACCCCTACCCCGCCTTCCTTCCCCTATAGATTTATATGCTTTCCATGTCATTCTACTTTGATCCATTCTCTCTAAATGACCAAACCACCTCAACAACCCCTCTTCTGCCCTCTGACTAATACTTTTATTAACTCCACACCTTTTCCTAATTTCCACACTCCGAATTTTCTGCATAATATTTACACCACACATTGCCCTTAAACAGGACATCACTGCCTCCAACCGTCTCCTCGCTGCTGCATTTACCACCCAAGCTTCACACCCATATAAGAGTGTTGGTACTACTATACTTTCATACATTCCCTTCTTTGCCTCCATAGATAACGTTTTTTGACTCCACATATACCTCAACGCACCACTCACCTTTTTTCCCTCATCAATTCTATGATTAACCTCATTTACAGCAGTTGCTAAAAATACATTGTATTCCATTTGTTGATGAAGGTAAGCAGTCTGGTGAACACAGAGGATGCTTGGATCAGTAAACATCGAAAAAGAATGTTTTTAACAGTTACCACTTATTTATTTTTGCACATTCTATAATTTGTTGAAAACCATGTTTTCTCAGAACATATTGATATGAGAGAAACATCTTTCCTTTGTGATATAAGAAATAATAGTGAATGAAGACAAGTGGTTTTTTAATGGAGGTGCTGTTGGAGTGTGAGCAGAATAATTTTCTTGAAGATTCAGGGAAAACAGCCAGACATGAGTCCTGGAGATGGGAGGGACTGTCATTGCACTCTGAAGGAGGGGTGAGGGTGTTGCAGTAGAAGGGGTAATCTGATTGTGTTCTCAACACACTTCTGGAATGACAGTGATTGAGTAAATGTAGGTCAATATGATTTCTTCTTTGGGTCACCATACCGTGGTGGGAGACAGCCACTGAGTTGAATAAATGAATAAATATATTGTTTTTTCCAGTGAACCAACCATATCTCATCGAGGCAGGGTGACCTAACAAGAAACACTAAAGTTTTTCCTTTAAATTTTGTAATTTATACAGATGAGGTTACTAGCACCTTACTCTCTGCATTTTAGTCTCCTCTTATGACAGTCGTGGCTTACAGAGGAATAATTCTAATCCACTTCCCCATGGAACTATATACATGTATGTATGTATATTTTTTTTTTTCAACAAACTGCCCATATACCACCAAGGCAGGGTGGCTCAAAAAGAAAAACGAATGTTTCTCTTTAAATTTAGTAATTTATACAGGAGAAGGGGTTACTAGCCCCTTGCTCCCGGCATTTTAGTCGCCTCTTACAACACCCATGGCTTACGGAGGAAGAATCCTGTTCCACTTCCCCATGGAGATAACAGGAAATAAACACGAACAAGAACTAGTAAGAAAATAGAAGAAAACCCAGAGGGGTGTGTATATATATATATATATATATATATGCATGTATGTGTAGTGTGACTTAAGTGTAAGTAGAAGTAGCAAGACATACCTGTAATCTTGCATTTTTATGAGACAGACAAAAGACACCAGCAATCCTACCATCATGTAAAACAATTACAGGCTTTCATTTTACACTCACTTGGCAGGACGGTAGTACCTCCCTACCGTCCTGCCAAGTGAGTGTAAAACGAAAGCCTGTAATTGTTTTACATGATGGTAGGATTGCTGGTGTCTTTTTTTCTGTCTCATAAACATGCAAGATTTCAGGTACGTCTTGCTACTTCTACTTACACTTAGGTCGCACTACACATACATGTACAAGCATATATATACACACCCCTCTGGGTTTTCTTCTATTTTTTTACTAGTTCTTGTTCTTGTTTATTTCCTCTTATCTCCATGGGGAAGTGGAACAAAATTCTTCCTCCGTAAGCTATGCGTGTTGTAAGAGGCGACTAAAATGCCAGGAGCAAGGGGCTAGTAACCCCTTCTCCTGTATATATTACTTAATGTAAAAGGAGAAACTTTCATTTTTCCTTTTAGGTCACCTTACCTCGGTGGGATACGGCCGGTGTGTTGAAAGAAAGATATAATGTATATTTATTTCAACACAACTGAGGGTGACCCCAAAAAGAAAAACACTTTTACCATCATTCACATATAATCGCTGTCTTTACAGAGGCACGCAGATATGACAGTTTAGATGTCACTGCTAACAGCCAATATCCCAAACCCCTCCTTTAAAGTGTAGGCTTTGTACTTCCCACCTCCAGTACTCAAGTCTGGGTAACCGGTTTCCCTGAATCCCTTCACAAAATATTACACACACACAATGGGCACATCTCCTGAGGCATGCATCAACCAAATAACTGCTGCAGCAAATAGATGCTAAGCAAACCTAAGAATAGCAATCCGACATCTCAATAAGAAATTGTTTAGGACCCTGTACACCATGTACATCAGGCCCTTATTGGAGTATGCAGCACCAGTTTGGAACCCACACCTAGCCAAGCACATAAATAAATTAGAGAAAGTGCAAAGGTCTGCAATGAGACTAGTCCCAGAGCTAAGGAGCATATTCTACGAGGAAAGGTTAAGGGAAATTGACCTGAGAACACTGGAGGACAGGAGAGAGAGGGGGACTATGATAACGACACATAAAATACTGAGAGGAATCGACAAGGTAGACAGACAGGATGTTCAAGAGATGGGACACAGCAACAAGGGGTCACAATTGGAAGCTGAAGACTCAGATGAATCACAAGGATGTTAGGAGGTATTTCTTTAGTCACAGAGTTGTCTGGGAAGTGAAATAGTCTGGAAAGTGATGTAGTGGAGGCAGGATCTATACATAGCTTTAAGAAAAGGTATGATAAAGCTCATGGACCATGGAAGAGTGACCAGTGAAGAGGCAGGGCCAGGAGCTGTGACTCGACCCCTGTAACCACAACTAGGCGAGTGTACTCGCATGCACACAAACACAGTACTATGGTAAACCCTTGATGTAACAAAACTAAAAGGGGTAAATGGGTCACTGGTAATGGTAATTGTGGTAGATAGATTGTTTTACTGTGATAGTAGCAATAATGGATAGTTCTGTACCTGAAAGATGCTTCTGGGGGTCAACACCTCCATGACCCAAATACA